CAGACTGAAATCTGTTCAGAAGACAGAAAGGACTCTTACATTCTGGAAATCTGTACCAAAGAATAAATACCCCAACATCAGAGGTGCAGCCCTAAAATGAATCTCGATGTTTGCCTCGACCTATCTTTGTGAGTCTGTTTTCTCGACACTTAAATATGTGAAATCCAAGCACTGATCCATTTTGACAGAGAGCCACTTAAGAGAACTGCTGTGTGTGAGCACAGCAGAACACAAACCAAACTTCAAAGAAATTGTTGAAAGCAAAGATTGCCTGAAGTCTCACTAAGTAAAAGATTAAGTTGTTATTGTTATAATAAACATATATATATATACATACACACACGATCAACTTATATAATGATTATGTGTGTGTGTGTGTATAATCCAAGGATATAATCACACACACATACACATACGTATGTGTCAGTATATGTGTACGTATATAATCAGTACATATTACTGTGGCTCTTTGGCAACCTATATTGGTAAATTCTGGCTTCTTCTCAGGCTCAGGTTGGCCATCCCTGTATTAAGTGAAAGCAAAAAGAGCACTGCAAAGCAACATACAATTATGTTAAGGCCCCTTCTTGCATCATGTGCACCAATCACCTCCTAGCATTACAAATACTGCAATCCCGAGTATAGCAACAAATATTAGTGGCTTTCAACTTCAAATTGCTGCCTCAAGGCATCCCTGATCCTTATGGCCCTGCGCTGTGCCCCTCTAATAGCCCTGGTCTCTGGCCACTCAAACTCAACTTCCAGGCGCTGAGCCTCTGTGGTCCAGCACTGGGTGAAGCTTTCACCCTTCACAAATATTATGGAGCGTACAGCACACGGCTATAAGCATAGAAATACTGTTATCGGCCATGTCCAGCTTCCCATACAGGCATTGCCAACGGGCTTTTAAATGTCCAAATGCACACTCAACAGTCATTCTGCACTTGCTCAGCCCGTTGTTGAACCACTCCTTGCTGCTGTCAAGTTGCCCCATGTATGGCTTCATAAGCTACTGCATTAAGGGGTAGGCAGGGTCTCCAAGGATCACAATGGGCATTTCGACTTCCCCTACGGCGATCTTCTGGTCCGTGAAGAAAGTCCCTGCTTGCAGCTTCTTGAACAGGCCAGTGTTGCGAAAGATGCGTGTGTCATGGACCTTTCTGGACCAGCCTGCGTTAATGTCTGTGAAATGTCCATAGTGATCCACAAGCGCCTGGAGAACCATTGAGAAATACCCCTTCCGATTAATGTACTCTGTGGCTAGATGGTCGGGTGCCAGAATTGGAATGTGCGTGCCACCTATCGTCCCTCTGCAGTTAGGGAAGCCCATTTGTGCAAAGCCATCCACAATGTCACGCACGTTGCCCAGAGTCACGATCTTTTGGAGCAGGATGCGATTAATGGCCCTGCACATTTCCATCAACATGACTCCAACGGTCGACTTTCCCACTCCCAACTGGTTAGCAACCGATCAGTAGCAGTCTGGAGTAGCCAGCTTCCACAGTGCAATCGCCACGCGCTTCTCCAGTGACAGGGCAGCTCTCATTCTCGTGTCCTTGTGTCGCAGGACTGGGGCGAGCTCATCACACAGTCCCATGAATGTGGCTTTCCTCATGCAAAAGTTCTGCAGCCATTGCTTGTCATCCCCGACATGCATCATGATGTGATCCCATTACTCAGTGCTTGTTTCCCAAGCCCAAAAGTGGCATTCCACTGTGATCAGCACCTCCGTGACTGCCACAAGTAATCTCGTGTCGTAGCTACTACGCGTGGCGAGATCAATGTCGCACTCCTCTTGCCTTTGTAGTTTAAGGAATAACTCCACTGTCACTCGTGACATGTTATCAGAGCGAGCAGCATACTGGTCAGCAGTTCGGGATCCATTCCTGCAGCCCGAAAGAGGCAGGGCGCGCAATACGCAAACCGTTGAAAGATGGCAACAAATGCGGACAGACGCACAGGGACTGATAGGATGCGAAGCAATGCATCATGGAGCATTGAGACTGGACCCAGGATGCCCCACGACCTCCTCCACCTTCCTACAAGTCTTAGGGGCAAAAGAGAAAGAGGTGCTCTGTGGGATAGCTGCCCAGAGTGCACCACTCTGAATAGCACTGCAAATGCCGCAAGTGTGAACACACTTTTGCGCAGGCAGCCGTCAGTGTGAACACCGGTTTTCCTTTTGTGCTTCTGACCGACACTGTAACTGCTGGCGCTGTAACTTTGCAAGTGTAGACATGCCCTAACCTCTCTGTGCCTCAATTTTCCATCTGTAAAATGAAGATAACAGTATAACCTACTTCACGGGGCTATTGAGAGAATAAATACACTAGAGATTGTGAAGTGCTCAGATACTCTAGTGATGGAGACCAAGTATCTAAAGTATCTAGATAAGACAGACCAGACTTGTTTTAAGATAACCAATAAGTAAAGTTGCGTGTCTCTCATAAAGTTTCAGGGAAGTCACAGATTCCATGACTTTCCGTGACTTCTGCAGTGGCCGGTGCAGCAGCTGGCTCTGGGGTTGCCTGAGCAGATCAGGCAACCCCGGAGCCAGCTTCACCGGCCGCTGCTGAGGCAGTTTGGGTGTGGGAGGGGCCTCAGGGCTGGGGGCAGCGCTTACCTTGGGGGGGAGGGGGCGCTCCCTGGAAGCGGCTGGCATATCCCTGCAGCTCCTAGATGGAGGAACCAGGTGGCTCCACGCACTGCCCGCGCCCGCAGATGACGCCCCTGGAGCTCCCACTGGCTGTGGTTCCCAGCCAATGGAAGCTACAGAGTTGGAACTCGTATCAGAGGCAGCATGCGGAGCCCCGTGGCATTCCCTGCACTTAGGAGCTGCAGGGACATGCTGGTCAGAGCCGGATAGGGAGCCTGCCAGCCCTGCCAACCCTTTCCCCCACCCCAGAGCACCCGCGGCCCCTTCGGGCCACTCCCCTCCCCAAGATTTAGTCAGGGGTTACAAGTCACGGACAGGTCACAGGCCATGAAATTTTATTTACAGCCCGTGATCTGTCCATGACTTTTACTAAAAATACCCGAGACTAAAACATAGCTTTACCAATAAGGTTATGCAATCTATACACTACATTTGAATTGTAGTTTAAAAAATTTAAAAACAAGCTCTACACCACAGCTGATGTTTATATATCATATATTCTGCTGCTAGAACAAACACTGACATGGAAGGTTAATTAAATAAGCCACATTTTAAAAAACTAGTAAGGGAAAAGTATTAGTGGGGTTGTGGGCAAATTCCAGGCCTTTGTGATCTTTCAGCCCTCGGTCATGCGAGCAGCCAACTTTAAATCAACCAATACACAATCTAGAATATATACAGGAGATTTGGCATCCCCTATTTGCCCTTTCTCAACACAGCAACACGCAAACCTTCACTGAAATTGAGTCAGCAAATTAGTCTGTGGAATTCATTGCCACAGGATGTCACTGGGTCCCAGCGCTTAGCAGGACTGGGCATTTATTTGGCTACTGAGAGCATCCAGTTATACTGGATAAGACTAAAACCAACCATGATAGGTGTGCGCACGGGGTGTGCCCAGGCAAATGGCCCCACCCTCCTGGTGCGGCAAGCCGCAGGGTCCGCGCTCCAGGGCCAGAGCGCCCGGCCGAACGCAGCAAGCCGCTGGCCCCTCCCCCATTGCCCAGAGGAGCCATCCCTCCCCTGGAGCCATGCCGCCGCGCGCACAGCGCTCTGGGGGGCGGGGTTGCCCGCTCCTGCAGGGCAGCGTGTCTGGCTCTGCACAGAGCAAAACATGCTGCTTGGAGCCTCATGGTAAGGGGTCTGGGGCCGGGGGGTTGGATAAGGGGTGGGAGGTCTCTGGAGGGGGCAGTCAGGGAGCAGGGGGGGTTGGATGGAGCATGGGAGTCCTGGGATCTGTCAGGGGGCAGATAGGGGTCAGGGCAGTCAGGGAGCAAGGAGGGTCCTCGGGGGAGCAGTTAGGGCGGGGGAAATTTCTGGAAGTGGTGGTCAGGGGACAAGGAGCTGGCGGGGGGGTTGGATGAGTCGGGAGTTCTGGGGGGTCCTGTCAGGGGGCAGGGAGCGGTTGGATAGGTGTGGGAGTCCCAGGGGTCCGTCTGGGGTCGGAGGTGTGGATAAGGGTCGGGGCAGTCAGGGGACAGGTAGGGGGTAGAGTCCTAGGGGGGCAGCCAGGGCACAAGGAGCAGGGAGGCTTCGATAGGGGGTGGAGTCCTGGGGGACAGTTAGGGGCAGGGGTCCCAGGAGGGAGCAGTCAGGGGACAAGGAGCAGGGGGGTTCAGGGTTCTGAGGGGGGCAGTCAGGGGGCAGGAAGTAGGAGGGAGTGGATGGGGGCTAGGGCGGGGCTCCCTGGGTGCACACCCTAATGAAACGTGCTGTGCATGCCTATGACAACCATAAAACCCTCCCCCCAGGTTTGGAAGTGATAAATACCCTCATGCTACAGGGCAGAGGCTAGACCTATACAGTTGGGGTTCAGGAAGAAGATCCCCCGCCTTTGGGCAGGTTATTCCCTCGCTGCCCACTTCAGGGTTTCTTGCAGCTTCCTCTGCAGCGTCTCTTCCTGGGGGAGACGCACGGGGCCGAGGCCGAAACGCCCCTCTTGCGCTCGCAGGCCGTTCCCCAACGTCCCACATAGCAGAGCGGGCCGCCATTCCCTGCTGCCCCCGGCAGGAGCGAGCCCCCATCAGCCCCCTTTGCCGCTCACCCCGCCCAGCTACTCTCCCTCCCCCGCCCCTCGGGTCACCGCTGCCCTCCAGGACAGGGCACGTCAGCGTGTCCACGAGGCCGCCCCGCTCCCACGTCTGGCCCGGGTCACCCCGCTCTGCCTCCCACGCGCTGCAGCCCCCGCAAGGGTAGGGCGTCCAAGCGCTGCAGGCCCCGGGCCGGGCTGTCTAATCCCCAGGCCCCTCAGCCTCCACAACTGCCTATTGCCCCCACGCCAGAGAAGCGCAGGCAGCTGGAGGGGGCCCATCCCCGCCCCAATAACGGCATTTTTGAACTTTACCTTCATCTTCTCGCCCGGGGCTCCCGAGTCAATATTTCATGTACGCATGCGCTGCCACTCCCGCTAACAGCGTCCCTGTCACCCAGGAGATCGGGGGGGGTGGGGGCCAAGGGAAGAGCCTCTGGCGCCACGACCAATCATAGCGAGGAGGCGGGGCTTAGCCCGAATCCGATCGGAGCGCGGCAGCTGCCAGCGGCTTCCGAGCCCGCCCCGCCCACAAAGTGAGCGAACCACTGGGGGGCGGGGGGAGGTGGCGAGCCGAGGGAACGGCAGGACTTAGGTCGGAGCCCCCGGCCGTGCCCTCCAGCACCGACGCCAGCGCTTGTCACGCTAGCAAGGAGAATGCAGCCCGGGCCCAGCGGCAGGGAGGGGCTGTGCTGTGCTGCTGGAGCCTGGCTTGTCAGCGGCCGCTTTCCGGGAGTTTCTCCCTGGCTGTCGGGGGGAGCGGCCGAGTC